CGGTTCTAATCATCTGCGACTAACTCCCAGAAGTAGCAACGTTCAAGGTCACTTTTCATTATCAAGCGCGTTGAAGCTATCCTAATAATGGAACGGTACGTGTACTCCTAACCCTTAAGTGAAGCGCACATAAGAAAAACGTGTTATTTGCAATTGGGGGTGGGGTGGGGGGAGGGTGAAGTGACACGACTCCTATCTACACCTCCCTCCTCCTCTCCTTCAGGGGGACAAATGTCGAGGTGGGCACTAGTGGCAGCGGCCGTGGATGACAAGGACAGAAGGACTGAAAAGAAAGTGACAACGACAAACGCGCTAGGGTTGTTCACGGGACCAACACTCATTTAAATGCAAACGCATTTAAATGGGAAACCACAAGACTTTCGTGTTTAGTCAAATCATCCTAAGTGATTAAAAATGCGCACTTTCTGAATGCTCTTCGTTTGGGTTGCAAAATAGGCGGAATGTTCAGTCATTCCGTAAATATCCCGCAAAATAGTCGTTATTTTTCATAGGCGATTAACCAAATAAGCCGTGTTTTACGACATTCTGGGTCCCAAATTTCCTAGGGAGAGCGAGAGCGAGAAGCCGCGTAAGCTCTCGAAGTGCATAAGTAAACAAGTTTATTATCCCCCCAGAAAAGAACAGATGAATCAAGACGACTCCACACAACAAGTCATTCCCCCCCCCCCCCCACTTCCTGAAGAGAGAGAGGCGGAGAGAGAGAGAGAGAGTGCGAAGGAACATGGGAAACACGTTGGCTGCCCAGCTGTTCCAGGCAAAAAAAGAAGATGAATCAACCCCAAGGGAGCTAGTCCGCTAAAACTCCAAACAGACTCTGCTTGTCCGTAAGGGTCGGGGAATGACAATCCACAACCCCAAGAACTCCAAGCAACAGAAATGAAGTGTCCCCAAGGTGACACAAAATTAGCGCGCAAGCAAACAAAGTAAGGGAGTTTTGCCCTCCTGGCAGCGTAACGCAAAGATGGAAACAAAGGGAGAGAGAGCAGTGATCGGTGCGATTTTTGTCCAAAAGTTTCAACCAATCACAAACTTACATCAAAACATGAAGGTCGTAGTGACAAAAGCACTTTAAAAAAATGAATCTGCACTGAATTATGTACCCCCTAAACTCTCCATTACGTCTGTAGAAGATACCTTCAAAACTATCAGACCGATAATTCCGAGATCTTGAAGCAGCCAATGAAAAGCCAAAAAAAGATAATTAGAGAAGAGGACACTAACACTTGAAAAGTTCTTTTTTTAAATGGTTTCCTTCAAAGCCTGACAACGGAGAACGATAACTTCGGGGTAAAATGCTTAATCTGATCTGGTATTTACATAAGAATAGCAATCTAGGAAACCACTGACTATATTTCCCATTTTTTAGGTTGAACTTTTATTAACTTGTTACTTTGGCTGACTTATTCGCAATTCCGTTTGGCGGAGTGAAGTCATAAGTTAGCTTACGAGTCTCCCTCGGATTCTCCAGCCAATACCACGGCAACCTTGAGGGCAGTTAGATTGAAGCAGTGGTCGGTAAAGGTTTATTTATTTATATCAAATAGCAGGCGTTTTGATAGTTATAATTAGCCCTGGAGCTGACTTCGGGGCTTCATGAAGAGGAGAAGGGACATCAAAGTGACAAAAAGTCGAGATGGGAGACAGAATAATGATTCACAGAGGTAAAAGAGACAGACAGACAGACACAAAGGTAGAGAAAAAGGTAAGATGAGTACTGTGGAAGGGGTCGAATATGAAAAAATAGTCGGGCCATGGTAGTTTGAAGTGGGAAGTCAACTGCCGGTTAATAGACTTTAATGCCGTATGAGTATACGTTGCCCTGGGTGCACCACTTGGAGGTAAGTCTATCGCACACCCCTGATCACTAAAGGTAATTCACGTCACGCAAGCCTAGTGCTGATTGCGCTACTCCCCCGCCCCGCCCCGCCCCGCCCCCAAACGCCTCCAATTGACGACTTCCACCATCCCCTAGTGCTTTTGATTCCCCCCTCCCACCCCCACCCCAACCCACACCCCTTCCTTCCAATCAACTCCAATTCCCCAAATGACTACCTTTTTAGAGCCTAGTGATAGGAAAAAAAAAACAAATTGAAGCCCCATTTGAAGCAGAAATTCTCCCACAACATTTCAATCGGTAAAGCGAGTACTCCAGACCAAAGTCTGAGAACACAAGGATATTTAAACTGAACCTTCAACAAAATCTCCAAAGACTTATTTACAGTCAATCGGCGCGCATGCATGCAATTATGGCGTACCGACCATAATTTACCATAGCAACAAGGGTGAGTTCTTTTAATTTCAAGATTTACACAACCACAAAAGGGCGAAAAGATCCTACTGACACGAAAAGTCCTTTAAAACCAGCGGAAATACGGAAAGAGATAAAGTAAGAGCATACTTTCATTTAAAAACAGTGAACACAGAAAATCACGTGATCCTGGGCAAGCGCTCAATGTCACTTTCAGCGTGATGTAGGCCCTTTCACATTGTATAAATACATTACAATAATAAAGTGATCGCTTAAAACAACGCTTTCGAAACGAAACGACAGTGTCAATCAGCATACTGAACAAACGGTGCGTGTGATAGACTTACCTCCACGTGGTGCACCCTGGTCAACGTGCACTCACACAGCAAAAAGGTCTATTAATCGGCAATTGAATTCTGACTTTAATCTACCATGACTCAACTGTATGCCATATTCCACCACTTCCACAGTACGCATCTTACCTTCTCTCTGCCTTTGTGTCTGTCTATCTCTTTCACATCTGTAAGGCATTCTTCTGTTAACCCCCCCCCCCTCAACTGTTTGGAACTTTGATGTTGCTCCTCCCCTCTATGAATCCAGAAGAAGTTAACTAAAGGGCTGAGGATAACAATCATCAAGACTGCCATTTGATATAAATGAATTATACTAGACTAGGAAAGGCATTTAGCCTTAGCACCTAACATGGCTTTCGGGTGAAACGGTCCACTTTACAAGTGCTCGGAACGGTAAACACTAGCGACAACTGTTCACCACGTCTGTCGATACAATTATCAGTAAGTCAGTAATACTTGTTTCATAATACTTAAATGTAAAATTTTTACGTTAACTAACATTTAAAATTAGATGTGGGGTGTGCGATAGACTTACCTCCACGTGGTGCACACTGGGCAACGTATACTCATGTGGCAAAAAAGTCTATAAACCGGTAGTTGACTTCTGACTTCTAACTACCATTACTCCACTGTATGTCATATTCGACTACTTCCACAGTACTCACCTCACCTATCATCCTCCTTTGTGTCTTTCTCTTTTACATCTTTAAAACACTTCTGTTCCCTACCCCTCCTCGACTCTTTTCGATTTGATGTTCCTCTTCCTCTGTGAAGTCTGAAGTCAACTAAAGGGCTAATGATAACTATCATAAAGCCTGCCATTTGACATAAAGAGTAAATAAATTAGATGTGATTTCAAAAATGAGCAACGACAAAAGTAACGAAATGAGCGAAATCTAGTAAGTGGAATTAATAATTGCATAACTAGCCAACAGACTGACTGAAATTGATAAAGTTAATGGTATTTGTGACTAGGCAAAATTGAAAAATGAAATTAAGAAAATCCCATTGAGATCTCCTAATACACACATATAAGTANGGAATTATGTGCAAAACCGCCTCACTCTATTCGTTAAGGAGATGTTTTTTCCTTTATTTACATTCCTACTCAAGACGTTATTTATTTTTCTGTTTATTTCAAATGGCAGGCGTTTTGATAGTTATCATTAGCCCTTTAGCTGACTTCGGGCTTCACAGGGGGAAGGAACATCAAAGTAACAGAAAGTCGAGGGGTGGGGAACAGAAGAGTGAATTACAGATGTAAAGAGACAGACATGAAGGCAGAGAAAAGGTAGGATGAGTACTGCGCCAGAAGTCAATCGCCAGTTAATAGACTTTTTTGCCGTATGAGTATACGTTGCCTAGGGTGCACCACGTGGAGGTAAGTCTATCGCACACCCCATGTGACTTAAACTAACCACATTTATCTCAAGACGTAACTTATCAAGTTCTTAATAGCACTCTTTCCCAGTACACGTGCGTGCGTGTGTGTGTGAGTGCACACCGGCTCAACTCAACAGTACTCCAAGAGACTATGGTGTGGGTGGGGGGCGGCTGTATTGACCTTGTTGGGGTAAAAAACATAAAACGTAAATTTGAGTGCTTGATGGAGTGTGTGATAGACTTACCTCCCTGGGCAACGTATACTCATACGGCAAAAGAAGTCTATAAACCAGCAGTTGACTTCTGACTTCAAACTACCATGGCCCCACTCTATGTCATATTCGACCCCTTCCACAGTACTCCCTTCACCTTTTTTTCTACCTTTGTGTCTGACTGTTTCTTTCACATCTGTGAATCACTCTTCTCTTCCCCCTCTCGACTTTTGGTACTTTGATGTTCCTCCTCCTCCCCTCTGTGAAGCCTGAAGTCACCTAAAGGGATAATGATAACTATCAAAACGCCTGTCATTTGAAATAAATAAATAAATAATGGTGCTTGATTAAGTGAACACTACAGTTCTGGTTAAAATGAGGAAATGGAGCACTTTAGGTAAGTAGCCTTAAATTGTTGGCCAAAATAACCGAGATTTAAGTGCAATTAGTTAGAATTGATTTTTCAAAGTACAAAATAAAAAACTTTTTGCCCTTTTCGAGCGCCAAATTGCATTAAACAAAGAAGCACAAAGCACACCACAACAAGGAACCTAGGGAGAACTAGTCATATGTCAGTTTCTTCTTGAAAAAAAACACCAGCTACACAATTATTGTCTCTCGCTCAAGGCAAGAGAGTAGGGGAAGTGATCGCCAAAGCAGTCTATAAAACAACAACACCACTCGCGGTGTGAACCTGAGTCAGCACGTAGACTGACTAAGCCGGAAAGCCACCGAATTCCGAAATTAGACACACGGTAGCAACTCAACTACTAATTAGTACAACTATAAGAGAAGAGTTGAATATGGTTCATCACAAGGGCCTACTTTAATTCCATCTGGAAGGCAAGGCGAGTCCTGAAAAATGTGGACAGGCACCTCGGCATAGAACGGAGACGACTTAAGGAAGAGCACTTCAGGCACCTCGACAAATGTAAATTGGCATAAGCAGCAAAACAGGAAACAGCTGACACCAAAAAAGACGGTGACTGCATCCCTCGGATAACAGAGGCGAAGCCCGTGCGGTTCGTAGACCACATCACAAATCATTTCCGTCTAACAGACGCCACCTTACCACCTAGTCCACCTCGAATGGATGATATGGCGCCAACAATGCCATCTTGTGAAAGGTGCATGCGATTGCAAACAACAAAAAAAACACACAAACTCTACCATTTCAAAACACATCTCTGTGTGCTGCGTGTCCGTGCAAAAAACACACAACCTCGATGTAGTCAAGTTCAGTGGTGCGCAAATAGTCGGCAGACCTTCCTCAATCCTCAGAATATGGCCCTATCGAATGCGGCAAAGGCGTGGAAAGAGCTGTCTGTCAACAGAATTAGCACCCCAGAAACAAGGCTTTCCTTTACTCACACTAGTATCCGGAAACGAGGTTCCCTATTAATTAATTAATTACTGAAAATGAAAGCAAGCGATAAGGGATATTACTAACACAATATAGCATCCTTCTTCTCACAGCTCTGAGTACTTATTTGGCCAACTTCTGCGCGTCGGGAAAAACATTTTTACAGTCGAACGGCGTCCATAGGGGTATTTGCACAAGCGTGAATGACCAATCACCATGGGTACACTTTTAGTTAATCACGTCGGAGAAAGTGATTTTTTTTTCGCACTAGGGGCTTTGAAATACCCCCCCCCCTCCCCTCC